CACCTGGAGAGTAAGCATTCAACACAGGAGCCTGTGTAGGAAATTCTTATCCAAACCATAACTCTTGTGAATGAGGCACAATAAGTAAATAAAGTTATTTCTTTCAAAAGGAGTGTAGTGTGCAGCTTAATGGGGTAATTAAACACATATGCTGCTAACGACTTGTGCTATAAATATATAGCTGTGAAAGCAAAGGCCACTGGATCTTTTCAAGAAGTTGCGCTCCTCGGGGCCCGGGCTGCGGTGAACACTAATGCCCAGCAGAGGGCGCTCTGGGCCTGTGCGCTGTCCTCATCAGGACCCGGGGTGCGGTGAGCACTGATGCCCACCAGAGGGCGCCCTAGGCTTGCACACTGTCCTCTCATCAGGACTCGGGGTGCAGTGGGTCCCGATTCCCACCAGAGGGCATACTAGGCGTATGTGCACTGGCCTCCTGGCCTCAGGACCTGTGGCATAGAAGACATGCAGAGGCCACGTCCTATGGACTATGAGTCCCGGCACCCTGAAGCTGAGAAAGCGCACAGGTGAAGTGGTTCTGTCTGACTCCATTCTGGGAAAATGATCAGAGTCGGATTTAGAGTTGCTTCAAATAAAACACAAAATGAAATGAATACCATGGATGTATTACAGTAACAACTAGGACCTGAAATATATATATATATTGGTCCCCTCCCTCGTGGGGCCTGAACTCTGGGCCTGGGCGCCGTCCCTCAGCTCTTCAGCTCAAGGCTAGCGCTCTACCACTTGAGCCACAGCACCACTTCCGGCTTTTTGCTTTTTGCTTATGTGGTGCTGGGGAATCGAACCCAGGGCCTCAGGCATGCAAGGCAAGCGCTCTACCACTGAGCCACCTGCCCAGCCCCTGATCTATTAACCTCTAGTACATTGCAGTGCACGTTGAAAAGTTCCACAAAATGTACAATGCTTTTATAGGGATATGTGAGGACTGGTTTTTAGTGTTAACATCCTCCCTGTCTTAAATGATACTTAACTAGATGATAATGATTAGCTATAACTGATTTATAATATAAAGGATTTAAACATACATAAGGGTCTAGGGTTGCTCTGACACACCACTGCAGACTGGGTTGTTTAGAGATCTGTGTTCATAGCTCTGAAGTTTAGCAGCATGGAATAAGTGTCTTCTGGGCCACATTCCCTCAGGAGGTACAAGGCACTGTGAGTTCTAGGTCTTCTCTCAGCTTCTGAGCCTGTGAGAGCAGAGTGACGTCTCTGCAGAGGATCATCCCTGGGTGCATTTCTGGGACCCGATTTCCCCCTTTTAGGGGCACAATAACAACAGAAACTGGAGTTGATCTCCTGCCAAAAGCGCATTTCCATGTAAGGTCACATTCCCAGGTATTGGGTGATGAGAGCATCCATATATGAACTTTGGGAACACAACCCATTACAATGTTCCTGCCTCTGCTGGCAGCCTCTACCTCCATATTTTACCTCCCTATTGATGGGGCTCCTCTGGAGCGCCATCTCCTTCCTGGCACCCAGCAGATCACTGCTGGCCCCGACTGCTGGCTTGAACTGACACTGAGAATTCACTGAGAGCTGGTGTAGGGCAAAGGGTCTCCTAGACTGTTAAGGTCCCAGACTGTGTGAGGAAAACTAAGCCGAGAAGCTGACCCTTTACTAAAAACAAAGAGAGGCCACGAAGGGAGACCTTAAAACCTATTTCACATGGAATTCCCCCCTATGTCATACCCTGCCCAATTAGAACGGTGCCTGCCGTGCAACGTTGTGCATTCCACCACATGATCGATTGCCCCCTGCTTCAAGGGAGTCGATGCCTGGGTGTGCACATTGCGCATCCTCCTGTAGCTATCTCTGTAATAAAGCTCCCGTAGCTGTCTTTGTAACAGCCCCCAGCTTCAAGGATGCAGGGCCTATAACATCATGTTTCCAGAATATACAAACCCCAAGAGTAAGAATATCCACTTGCTTTGTGTGGGGACCCCAAATTTGCCCGCCAATGCAAGCCAGAATGATAGGTTAGTTCAAACAGTTCCTAGGAGTCGGACTGTAACCCACCAGCCACGGACATAAACATGCAACCCTTATGTGCTGTTACAATCCCGTTGGCCACCTGTGCGTGGCCAGGCGTGGATGTTGCCTTTAAAAACCCTGACTTGTGGGTTGTTCGGGGTCGCAGTTTCAGCTCCCGAGTCTGTGCTGCGTCCCTGGCCGGTTAGCTCTCCACTTCCCCAAGAAAGTCATCTTTTTAAGTGAGGCTGTCTGAACAGTGGACTTTTTCCCCCGTAACACTGGGACAAGACTGCTCTGGGGTTCGGACACTACAGTTTGCAGCAGGACCAAACAGAGGCTGGTCTGTCTCTGGCACTGAGGCTTTGGGACACTTCATCAGGGCTTCAAGTTTTCCAGGGTCCTGGGCAGAAGTAGCTGCAGCTACAGGCTAGGAGGAAGAGTGGAGCACTGCAGGGGTGGGGCAGGAGCAGGAGGTGAGCGGTCCAGGGGCGGGGCTGCTGGGACGCCAAGGGTCTTGAGGACAGTGTGCATACCTAGAGCACCATCTGGTGGGAAGCAGTGGTCACTGCACCTCTCTGGTCCTGAGATGAGGAAGATCATGTGCAGGCCTAGACCACCATCTGGTGGGAAACATTGGTCACTGCATCCCCTGGACCTGAGAAGAGGAGGATCATGTACCCAGCTAGACCACCATCTGGTGGCAATCAGTGGTCACTGCACCCCTTGGTCTTGAGGAAAGGAGGACGGTGAGCATGCCTAGGGCACCCTCTGGTGGGAAACGGCCCTCATTGCACCCCTGGTCTTGAGAAGAAGAGCAAGGTGCTCACCTGTCTAGCGCGCCCTCCGGTGGGAATCAGCTATCACCGCACCCTAGGTGCTGAGGAGAGGAGGACAGTGTGCAAGCCTAGAGCACCCTCTTGTGGGAATCAGTGCTCACTGCATCCTCTGGTTTTGTGGGCGGAGCAGAGCAAGAAGTGAGCAGTGCAGGGGTGGGCTTGTGGGAGGATCTGGGGTCCTGAGGAGGACAGTACGCACACCTAGAGCACCATCAGGTGGGAATTAGTGAACACTGCATACCTGGCCAGGACAAGAGGAGCACAGTGTGCACACCTAGAGCGCCCTCTGGTCAGAATCAGTGCTCACTGCCCCCTCTGGTCCTGAGAAGGACAGTGTACATACCCAGAGCGCCCTCTGGTGGGTATCAGTGTTCATTGCACTCTCTGGTCCTGAGAAGAACAGTGCACACACCCAGAGCGCCCTCTGGTGGGAATCATTCTTGAAAGCAGCCATCAATTAAGAAAGTGTTAAAGCTCAACACTTCACTCTACTTTATCCACTGCAGCCCCTGGTCCTGAGAAGGACCGTGCACACACCCAGAGCGCCCTCTGGTGGGAATCAGTGCTCACTGCACCCTCTAGTCTTGTGGGAGGAGCAGAGCATGGAAGTGAGGGTTCCAGGGGCAGGGCTTGTGTAGGGGCAGAGAATGATAGGGGTGGGGCAAGAATGAGTCCAGAGGCGGGGCTTGTGGGGAGGCAGAGCACAGGAGGGGTGTGGCAAAGGAGAAGTGAGTGGTGTATGGATGTCAGTCAGGGTACATATTAGGGTGTGTGATGGGGTATAGGTTAGGGTACATGTATGTGTCGGGTTACACATTTGGGATACACATAAGACGGTTACCTGTAACGTTTGGACAATGTATTAGAATTTAGAGTATTTATTAGGGTATGTGCTACGTTTAGGGTAAATGTGAAGTTGTAGTTTGTTAGGGTACATTCAGGGTACAGGTACAATTTACAGAGTATGTGAATGGGTACTTGTTACCATATGGGTTCGTGTCCAGAGCATGTTTATTGTATTGGGAATCTGTTAGGTTTAACATACATGTGAAAGTAATGGCACATATTAGGGTATGTGTTTGAGTCCATGTCCATGTATGTGTTAGAGTTAGGGCACTTGATAGGGGGTTACGGTACATGCTAGAGTGTGTGTTAGTTAGGGCACATATTAGGGTACGTATTAGAGTTAGCATACTTCACAGGGGATTCGTTAGGGTGAAGGTACATGTTAGGATATGGTTGAGTCACATGTTAGGGTACATTAATTTTTTTAAGTATGTGTCAAGGTACCTGGGGTATATGTAAAGGTCAGAGTTAGAGTATGTTAGGGTACATTCAGGGTACATGTAAGGTTCCTGTATGCTTTATAGAATATGTGTTAGGGTATTTGTTATTATATGCGTGTCTAGAGTATGTTTAATGTGTTAGAGTACTATTGGGAAATCTGTTGGGGTTAAAATACATGTTAAAGTCAGGGCACATATTAGGGTGTACATTGGGTTACTTTAAGGTACAAGTTTGAGTGTATTTAAGGGTATTTGCATGGTTTTGAATAAGTGTTAGGGTCCTTGTTAGGGTATGAGTTAGTGTTTAGAGTACATGTTAGCAAACAGGGTATGTTTTGTGCACATGCTAGGGTACATGTATGACTTGAAGTACATGTTAGAGTACTTGTTAGGATACATGTAAATGTTTAGAGTGTGTGTTACAGTATGTGTTTGGGTATGTGTTAAGGTTACAGTTATGGTTTGGGTTAGGCAACATGTTAGGAAGTATGTTGGGATAAGTTTAGGGTACTTGTTAGGGTATATGTAAGCTTTACAGTACATGATAATGGTTAGGGTCTGTGTTAACCAGTAGGGTACATGTTAGAGCATTTGTTAGGGTTTGGCTTAGAGTTAAGGTATGTATTATGGTATGTTTGGGGTACATGCTAGTTTACCTAACTATAAGAGTACTTGCATGTATTAGAGTGCATGTAAGAGTCATTGTTACCACACATTTTAGCGTTTAGAGTGTATGTTATGGCATGTGTGTGAGTTAGAATGAAGTTTATGGTATATGTCAGGGTTCGTGTTAGAGTTAGGGTATGTGTTAGGGCTAAAGTATACGCTATAGTGTATATTAGGGTTATGGTTTGGGTTAATTAAGGGCACGTGTTTGGGTATGCGGTAAGGTGAATTTGAGGTAGATGATAGGGTGTACGTAAATGTGCCTGTATGGTTTACAGTACTTGTTAGGGTACTTGATAGAATGTGACACTGTTTACTATATTTGTTAGGGTACTTGTTAGGGTATGCGGTACAGTTTAGGGTTTTAGAGTAAGGTATGTGTTAGGATAACTGATAGGGTACATGTTGGAGCATGTGCTAGGGTTGGGGGTTAGGGTCAGAGTCAGGGTCATTGTCAGTGTTAGGATTTTATCAATCTGGTGAGGTTAGGGCTAGCATTTGGAGTATGGGAATAGGTCAGGCTTAAGGTCAGGAAAGGGTGTAGGGAAAATATGGTAGACAAAGGGTGAGGTTGGGGATGCACTTGAGGAAATGTTAGAGTAAGGGTCCAGGAAAGGTTTAGGGTTAGGGAATGTGTGAGGAAGAACTCTGTGGAATGGGTTGGGGTTATGGATATGGTATGAATATGGAGGCTCAGTGGTACAGCGCTTGCCTTGCATGCCTGAGGCCCTGGGTTCGATTCGTCAGCATCACAGAAGCAAAAAGAAAAAAAGCCGGAAGTGGCGCTGTGGCTCAAGTGGTAGAGCGCTAGCCTTGAGCTGAAGAGCTGAGGGACAGCGCCCAGGCCCAGAGTTCAGGCCCCACAACCAGACCCAAAAATAAATAAATAAAAAAAAAAGTAAAGCAAAAAAAAAAAAAGGAGTAATTTTTCTTTCTTTGCTGAGAAGAAATGCCGTCTGGTGCTCCATCTTGTGGTCTGCCCCTCCCTTCAGAGTTCTGGCTTGGCCAGGTGCAAGCTGGGAACAGAGCAGCGGATGGAGCGAGGAGGCGCCGCTCCTGTGCTCTGGAGAGTCCCTGGAGCTGGTCTGTTCTACGGAATCCAGTGGGGCCAGGCGGGGCATGCCCGGCAGCCCCCGGCCGGCCCGGCAGCATGTGCCCACCTCTCTGCGACGCTCAGGGAGTTCAGCTCCTGCTCTGGCTTTTCTGTGGCAAGCCTTTCCCCCTCCACTGAGGCTGCCGGTGTACCATACCCTTCAGAGTGCGTAGAGCAGAGCCTTGTTCCCTTCCCGAGGCTTAAGTTTAAGAGGCTCTGTCAAATCCAGCACCAAGAATGCTTCTCCCTTCCTGAGCGCCTGACATGTGGTACCTCCTGACCTCTTTTGGGAGTTGGGAGAGTCAAAGGCAAGGTGGTGAGTGTTCACGTAGCTAGGGGTCGTGAGGACATGGGACTTCTCCAGCGAACGCACTGATGTGCTGTTACTTTTTTTTAACCAGTGTTTGTCCAGCACGATGCTGCTCAGCTCTACCTCACGTTCTGGAACCTTCTTAAGGATCAAATAGATGATGTGGACTTGGTAAGAGCTGAAGCTGGAATCCCAGGACCTGTAGAGGTCGCTCACCATTGTGCATTTGTAGTAAGGGATCCGTGGAGACCGCTTGCCACGGTTCCTGGTGTCCTTCCCGGTACCTGCCGGGAGCGTCAGGGCTCGTCAGTCCAAGAGGTCCAACTGTGGCCATAGCCTCACCCGTCCTTGGCGCCTTCTTGCAGGTAGAGAGGCTGCAGGCCCTGTACACGATCCGGGTGAAGGAGTCCCTGGTTTGCCTCCTCTCTACCAGAGAGAGCAGTAGGAACAGCAGTATGCTGACCCTCTCCCTCCCTCTCTATGACGTGGACGCAAAGCCTCTGCAAACACTGGTGAGAGACTGGGTGAGAAAGGGTCGCCCCGCCATGCCAGTTCCCCCCGCCATGCCAGTTCCCCGTGTCCTTCCACCCGCGGACACTAACAACTCTGTTTCACTTGCACGGCTCTAGGTGGCCAATTTCTTTGAGCAGCAGCAGAAGTTCTATCCTGTTTCTCATTTTCTCACCCTCGTATTAACCAGGGCTCCTTGTGTTTTCTCCTCCAGTGGGTGGAAGATCCTGACAGATGTAGCGCTGGTAGTGGGGTGCTTGGGGAACAGTGGGGGAACCGGCAGCGGAGCTCAGCCCTCACCTGTGGGGTGGCCGCGTGCCCATGGAAAGGGTCTGCTGACGCGGCCTTTCCCTGCGGCCTCCGCCGGCAGGAGGAGGCCCTGCGCTGTTTTTTCCACCCCAGGGAGTTAGCCAGCAAGAGCAAGTGGTTCTGCGAGGCCTGCGGGACGAAGACGCGTGGAAGCCAGGTGCCCACCCTCAGGTTCAGATGCGTCTCCGGGGCGGGCTGTTGCTGGGCCAAGGCTTCCCAGACACTTCCGGGCCCTTCCTGATGGCGGATGGGGTGGGATGTGGGTGAGGCTAGTTCAGACCCTCGGGCTTCTCATAGACGGGGCTGTGGATGTCGCTTCTTGACCACAGTCTTCCACCAGGAGTGGCAGGTGACGGCATGGGGCTGGCTGGGGGCGGTGGGGTTTCCTATTTGGTTTTAGAGACGCTCCCTACAGCAGACTCCTAGTTTCTGAGGGCCAGGCACCTCTGCGGAGCCCTGAGCAGCTCACGGCTTTTGTCTGAGGTCCATAGTGCTGTGCCGGCCAAGCGTCCCCTGAGTCTCCGGGGAGAGGAATGGATTCTGCCATGGAAGCCTTCAGCTCCCCAGTGTGTCCCCCGCACCCCTCCCCCTGGGGAGGAGAACGAGCCACCAGGCCCGGCGAGTCTCAGGATCTTCCCGCAAGCGCCTCGGGGCCCCGTCTCACAGTGAGTTTTGCTTTTGCAGGTCTTGAGGATGACGCATCTGCCCCAAACCCTGACCCTTCACCTGATGCGATTCTCCATTCGGAACTCACAGACGGAGAAAGTCTGCCACTTGCTGCACTTCCCTCAGCGCTTGGATCTCAGTCAGGTTCTTCTGGCTGAGCATCAAGACTTCACTGAGGACGCAGAGCAGGTGAGGTGTTCTGGATCGATCCTACCAGACGCGGCGTCCTCCAGGTTCAGCGCTCTTACCCCTCGACTGCTAGATGGCACCGACTGGTGAATCCCCTGGTTCAGGCTCCCCAGGCCCGGGTTAGCGATTTGGTCTTCAGCTCACCTCCACAGTGTGAGGGCTCGGAGCAGCCCTGTGCTGGGTGCGCAGCGCCCCCGGGAGGGGAGCCAGGCGTGGTGAGCTCAGCCTCTGAGCTGAGCACTGCTCTGTCTGAGGAAGTGTGCCCTCTGCGGGCTAGGCGGGGCCCGCACCGAGGACAGGCTGGCATCAGGTTGCTGCGAGTCACAGAGGCAAAGGCATATTCAAGGCAGAGGGCTTAAAAACATTTTAAATTCAATTTATTTATTTATTTTTCAGCCAGTATGTTGGCACGTGCCTATCTTCTTTGCGGCCGGGAGACGTAGACCAGAGGGGCATTGGTTCAAGGCCAGTGTGAGCTACACAGTTAAGACCCTGCCTCACAAATAAAAGAAAGGCTGTTTTTGTTTTTTTCTAAGCATTATTGATTTTAATGACCATGTGGTCCCCCGGGGTCCGTGCTGGGGTTATCATTATAACAATGTCACCACAAGCCTTTGCTGTTCCTAGTGTTAGTTTCTTTAAAGATTCAGAACAAACCTGCCTTATTTCCAGTGTTGACACATGGAAAGTATTTGTGTGTAGGGATTTCAGTGTGGTTCTGTGACGTACGCATGCCGGAGGAATGGTGTCTTGTGGTCTTGGCACTGACTAATGTGTCATGCTGGGCCTGTAGCAAGCACATCGCCATTCACCATCTGAGCCAAGCCGCTGGGCCTTTTTGCTTGAGTTCTGTTATCAGGCAGTGGTTTGTTTTTGTCCAGGCCTGACCTTGGACTGCTCTTCTACCTCTGCCTCTCCAAGGGACAGGCTTCCGGGTGTGCACTTGTGTCTGGCTTGTCTGTTGAGATCGGAGTCTCACTAGCTTTCTGGCCAGGCTGACTTTGTCCACAGCCTTTCTGATCTCCCCCTCTGGAGAACCTGGATTATAGGTGTGCAACCGCACCCATCCTCAAATTTTGGAAAGATTAGCTCAAGCTAGACAACATACTTATCACTTCACCTGTGTCTTTGTGGTGAGCGTATGTAAATATTCTTTAAAAGCATTTTCCGGTGTGGAACACATTATAATTATGATACTGTATGACATTGTTCTGAAACCTATTCCTCCCGTTTAACTGGAAGTTTGTGCGCTTTGATCACCATCTTTCATTACAACCCCTAATAACCACTGTTGCGTTTCTGCTGCTATGTTTTTATTTGAAAGAAAGAAATACTCTTGACTAACAAAAAAGTCAGCCCAAACTCTCACTACTAATGTTCCCTTTTCTTTTAAACAGTTTTCTAAGATTTTGAGGGAGTGGAAGGAACACTTCATGCACACATGTAGTAGAGACTTTGCGTCTGTAATATTCCTCTTCGTGTCCTACTGTTTTTGTAAGGTTTCTGTCCTGCCATTTCACTGTCCGTTTTCGGGTTCTTTTCTGTCACCGTTTTGTGGATATTCTAGTTCCATTTCTTCTCCTCACCTTTTTGAATGTCACCTCATATTTCTCCCAGTTTCATTAACCTCAAATTGAAGACTTTCAGACTATGTCTTCTGTTCAGATGGTGGCATTTGTCTATCAGCCCATTAATCATAGGAAGCCTGAAGTGTGGGAAATCATGTTCCCGACATTTGCCTGGGGAAGGAAAAAACAGCACAAAACAGAGCTAGGGGCGTGATTCAATGGTAAGGCTCCTGCCTGGCACGCAGGAGGCCCTGGGTTCAAACCGCAACTTCCAAAACAAACCAACAAACCAAAGAAGAAACCAAGGTGAAACAAAAAGTTCACAACCCCTTCCCTCCCAAACCAAACCAAAACAAATTCCCTTCCGATAACTTGTCTGCCAATGTTAAAAAACCCTTCTGCATGGTTAACAGAGACCTCCTCAGAGTTCCCACTTGGCAAAAATTGAACATTCTGCACTTACTGTTCGTGCGTCTGATATAACACAGGCATCACAGTTCTGGTTTGTGATGCTTCTCTTCAACTAGCTGTGAGATTCTGCAGGTCAAGGTCTTTTCTTCGAGCTCCTTGGAAGTGTCAGTGCCGGGCCTAGAGCAGGCAGTAAACAAGTGCCTGGCAAATATGCTTCCTCATTAAAGACCAGGGCTGGGAAAGGAGGATGGGTCGCTTACAGCCTTGTCCTCTTCCAGCGTGAAGCACAGTATGAACTCTTCGCTGTGATAGCCCACGTAGGGATGGCAGACTTCGGTCATTACTGTGCCTACATTCGGAATCCAGCGGATGGAAGATGGCTCTGCTTCAATGACTCCAATGTTTGTTGGGTGAGAACCATCATCTAAACTTTCCTCCTTCTCTGAATTCTCAGCTCAGAGTTGAAGACGCATTATGGTCTTGTAGTTTGTGTGTAGGAGCTGGGGAGTTTTGTGGTTCAAAGCCATTCTCTAGGTTTATTGCTTTATTTATTTATTTTTTTGCTTGTTTTGGGGCTTAGACTCAGGGTCTGGGTGCTGTTCCCCAGCCTCTTTGTGTTCAAGGTGAGTGCTCTACCTACCACTTCGGCCACAGCGCCACTTCCGGCTTTTTCTGTGTATGTGGTACTGAGGAATGGAACCCAGGGCTTCATGCATGCTAGGCGAGCACTCTACCACTGAGCCACCTTCCCAGCCATGGTTTATTGCTTTCTAAGCATCTGTTTGTGTCAGTGTTAGGTTTCTGGTGCTCTTAGCCCCGTACCTTGAAGGTTTATGCTTTGTAGGAAACGTCTGTGGAGCGAGACGTTAAAGATGCAAGGTGTAAAACTCTGGGATAGGTGTAAGCATTTCAAGGTGAGTGGGGACATTACAGAGGGTCTCAGGATGCACGGCGTTGTGTCACCAGATGCTCTGATGCTGTGTGGTCGCCAGGGTGGGCTTCTCCATTCTCTGCAGGAGTCTAACAGGGCACATTACAGTGTCCCCTGTTCTGTCCACACGTAATAGCAGCTGCCAACCAGCTGCTGATGTCTGTGATGTTCTTCCAGGTGTCCTGGGAAGACGTCCAGTGTACCTATGGAAATCATCACTACCGCTGGTAAGAGAAGCACTTGGGGGAATGGAGTCCACTGGGTTCTTGGAGCTTTATGAAATCTGCACGGATGAACTATTGCCTTTATCCGAGAGTCCCCACTGACTACCATTCAGCCTCATCTTTCAGCAGTCATCCCTGGCACCACACTTCCCTCAGAATTTAGACTTAAGTAAAGCACTGGCATAAGTCCCAATACCATGTCCATCATCTTCTGTAACTGTGTACCTGTATTTTCTGGTCTCTATGACCCTGTCCTAATTTATCTTCTGAGCAAGTGCCTAGTGGTGTTTTGATAATCACTGTCTTTCCTACTGCGCAAAGCTTTACTGATGGGCCCCAGCGGATTGGCGGGGCTATCTTATCAGTACCGCGCTAGCCGATTGCACCGCTGGAGCTCCAAAGGCAGGGCTATCTTATTTGCTTTCGTTGCTTTTTGAGCAGGCCTCCTTTATTACACTTCAAAATGTTTGTTGATTTTGCGACTTTTCCCCTCACACCAGACCATGTGCTTTTTTTTTTTTTTTTTTTTTTTTTTTGTGCTGGTTCTTGGGTTTGAAGTCTAGGCCTAGGCATTGAGCTTTTTCACTCAAGGCTAGTGCTCGACCACATGAACCACAACTCCACGGCCTGCTTTTGTGTGGTTAATTTGAGATAAGAGTATCAAAGACTTTTCTGCTCTGCTGGCTTTGAACCTGAATTCTCTGATCTAAGCCTCCTGAATAACAAGGGTTACAAGTGTGAGCCAGTGGTGCCCAGAAGAGCAGGGGCCAGGACCACTCTTCTCTTTCTCAGTAGGCATCAGGACATGATACTGACGTAGTCATTAACCTAGAGAGAAAAGCTGGATAAAGTTAAGGCAGAGATTTTTATATGTACTGGAGGTGGAAATGGAACTGACAGTGTAGGTACTGGAGGTGGTATGGGGGTGACAGTGTAGGTAGTGGAGGTGGTATGGGGGTGACAGTGTAGGTACTGGAGGTGATGTGGGGGTGACAGTGTAAGTACTGGAGGTGGTATGGGGGTGACAGTGTAGGTAGTGGAGGTGGTATGAGTGTGACAGTGTAGGTAGTGGAGGTGGTATTGGGGTGACAGTGTAGGTACTGGAGGTGATATGGGGGTGACAGTGTAGTTACTGGAGGTGGTATTGGGGTGACAGTGTAGGTACTGGAGGTGATATGGGGGTGACAGTGTAGGTAGTGGAGGTGGTATTGGGGTGACAGTGTAGGTAGTGGAGGTGATATGGGGGTGACAGTGTAGGTACTGGAGGTGGTATTGGGGTGACAGTGTAGGTACTGGAGGTGATATGGGGGTCACAGTGTAGGTAGTGGAGGTGGTATTGAGGTGACAGTGTAGGTAGTGGAGGTGGTATTGAGGTGACAGTGTAGGTACTGGAGGTGGTATGGGCGTGACAGTGTAGGTACTGGAGGTGGTATTGGGGGTGATGGTGCTTGTACCAGGTGATATTCAGCTACATCAGTAGGCTTGATTTCATAATTAATGGATTAGGTGGAGCTTATGTTTGATATCTTCCTTTTACCTACTTTTCATATTTTCCTTTTATTTATTCTCAACATTTCTCTTAGGTGCCTGTTCTTAGCCAATTTTTGGTTATTCATTCCCCTGTGATTTAGAATAGGGGTTAGCAAACTTTCTCTGTAGAAGTTAGAGAGAAAGTACTTAGGGTTTTGGAGCATAGCTTCTGTAGCTGTTACTCAGCTTTGCCCTTGCAACATGCAGGGTGCCACAGACAGCACGTGAATGAATGAATGTAAGTGGCCATGTTCCAATTAAGTTTATTTGCAAAAAACTGGGTTGGAGTTGGCTTATAGTCCCATAATATGTCTGTCCCTGGTCCTTTCCTCCTTCCTTCCTTCCTTCCTTCCTTCCTTCCTTCCTTCCTTCCTTCCTTCCTTCCTTCCTTCCTTCCTTTCTTCCTTCCTTGTTTTCCTTCCTTCCTTGCTTCCTTCCTTCCTTCCTTCCTTTCTTCCTTTCTTTCTTCTAGTCCTGGGTATGAACTCAGGGCCTGGGTGCTATCCCTGAGCCTCTTTGTATTCAAGATTAATGCTGTACCACTCGAACCACAGTGCTACTTCCAGCTTTTTCTGAGTATTTTATTGGAGATAAGAGTCTCACAGACTTTTCTGTCCAGGCTGCCTTTGAACCATGACCCTCAGATCTCAGCCTCCTGAGTAGCTAGGATCACAGGCATGAGCCGTTAGCACCATGCTGTCCATGATTTGTATGTTAGCTCATAAGAACTTACAGGTTAGTTTCCCAAGTTACTATTTTCTTTCCCTTTGATGAGACGGACAGGTTAGGTAGATGAAGGTTTGCTTCATTATCCTGGAAATTTGGTCCTATTGTGAATCAATAATATATCCCCTCAACTAGGCACTGGTAGCTCACTCCTGTCATCCTAGCTACTGAGGAGGCTGAGATCTGAGGATTGCGGATCAAAGCCAGCCTGGGCAGGAAAATGTTTGTGACTCTTATCTCTAAGTAACTGGCTACAGAAAACTAGAAGTGGCTTTATGGCTCAAGTGGTAGAGCCCTCGCCTTGAGCTGGGACAGTGCCCAGGCCCAGAATTCAAGTCCCACAACCCACCCAAAAATACATACAGCCTTTCATTGTAAATGTTTCATTTTGCTATGCTGATAAATTTCTCTTTATAGGCAGGAAACTGCATATCTTCTGGTTTACATGAAGATTAGAGGTTAATGGATATACTCTAAACCTTCAGAGACTGACAAATTCATTTCTTTTCCTGTCATTGGATCTGCTGAGTCTTCTAGGAGATTCTACAATGAGGAAAAACATAAAAACTGTAATAATTTAAGTCTTAAGTTATAACCATGAATGGGTACTGGTGTGGTTTGGATGTGGTTTGTCTCCAAAGGTCCTGTGACAGAGGCCTGGTCCCTTGTCTAGCAATGTTGTGGGGCAGAATCTTTTGAGAGCTGAGGCTTGTGCAGGGCATCTGTGGCTCATGCTTGAAATTCTAGCTACTCAGGAGGCTTTGAGAGTTCAAATCCAGATAGGGCAGAAAAAGCCTTGAGACTTACCTTCCATTGACAACGGAAACAAAAGCTGGAAGTATAGCCATTGCTCAAGTGCTAATGTGCCGGCTCGAGTGAAAAAGCTCAAGGATGGACTGCACCTAAGCCCCGCGTTCAAGGCCCAGTAGTGCCCATGAACTATTTCAGCTAGGCCCCCGTCTCCCTACGTTTCCAGAGCCCTTGAAAATGTCCCACACCTGGAGAGTAAGCATTCAACACAGGAGCCTGTGTAGGAAATTCTTATCCAAACCATAACTCTTGTGAATGAGGCACAATAAGTAAATAAAGTTATTTCTTTCAAAAGGAGTGTAGTGTGCAGCTTAATGGGGTAATTAAACACATATGCTGCTAACGACTTGTGCTATAAATATATAGCTGTGAAAGCAAAGGCCACTGGATCTTTTCAAGAAGTTGCGCTCCTCGGGACCTGGGCTGCGGTGAACACTAATGCCCAGCAGAGGGCGCTCTGGGCCTGTGCGCTGTCCTCATCAGGACCCGGGGTGCGGTGAGCACTGATGCCCACCAGAGGGCGCCCTAGGCTTGCACACTGTCCTCTCATCAGGACTCGGGGTGCAGTGGGTCCCGATTCCCACCAGAGGGCATACTAGGCATATGTGCACTGGCCTCCTGGCCTCAGGACCTGTGGCATAGAAGACATGCAGAGGCCATGTCCTATGGACTATGAGTCCCGGCACCCTGAAGCTGAGAAAGCGCACAGGTGAAGTGGTTCTGTCTGACTCCATTCTGGGAAAATGATCAGAGTCGGATTTAGAGTTGCTTCAAATAAAACACAAAATGAAATGGATACCATGGATGTATTACAGTAACAACTAGGACCTGAAATATATATATATATATTGGTCCCCTCGTGGGGCCTGAACTCTGGGCCTGGGCGCCGTCCCTCAGCTCTTCAGCTCAAGGCTAGCGCTCTACCACTTGAGCCACAGCGCCACTTCCGGGTTTTTGCTTTTTGCTTATGTGGTGCTGGGGTATCGAACCCAGGGCCTCAGGCATGCAAGGCAAGCGCTCTACCACTGAGCCACCTTCCCAGCCCCTGATCTATTAACCTCTAGTACATTGCAGTGCACATTGAAAAGTTCCACAAAATGTAAAATGCTTTTATGGGGATATGTGAGGACTGGTTTTTAGTGTTAACATCCTCCCTGTCTTAAATGATACTTAACTAGATGATAATGAT